TAGTGAAAACCTCTCCTGAAAAAAGGAAAGTACAGGCAGTTATAGGGGATGCAAGGCCTTGCTGAGAATTACAGCTAACTAACTGCACCTTTACTGGCAATTCACTTACTAGCTTCAAACTTGCTTGGAGGTCCAGATGAAAAAAGCGCAAAGCTGACCCTTTATGGGACTTGTTTGCTCTCTGGACCAGCCAGCCTGATCTTTGGAATCAGAACATTTAAAAAAAATCAGATTTCCTCCCGACCATTGTTGGGAGGGAAATGCAAATTAAATCAAGATACCTCTGCCCAGCCTCAGTTGCATGTGTGCTGCTAAGACACTGTTCTATGTCGGCTGGGACCCCATGGGGACCTAGGTTCGATTCCTGGTCCAACCTGAAGTCCAGGTACTGTGACTGCAATCCAGTGACTTGGGAGGCTGAGGCCAGAGGGTCCTGAGCTCGAGGCTGGCTTAGGCAGCACAGTGAGACCCTGTCTACAAAGGAGCTAGGTGTGGTGGTACACACCTGCAGTCCCAGCAGGGAGACTGAGGCAGGAGGATCTTGATGTAGCAAGACCTTGTCTTCAAAAACAATCAGTGGGCCAGCTGGTGGCATAATGGTTAGTGGCCAGATCCCACATGGACAACTGCATGGTTTGAGTCCCGGACCTGGTGGCTTGAAAAACACTCTGGGTGCATGTATGCATGCGTACCCGAAAGCCCAAAAGGAGGGAGAGATCCAGAGAAAGTGGTGACGATCCCTTAGTCACTTTCCCTCTCTCATCATCACTCTCTGGGCAGTGCATGTGTCCTATAGCAAAATAGAAAAAATAAAATTAAACTAAGTATAAAAAATTAAAACATTTAAAGAGTTTTTAAAATAAAATAAAATAAAACCCCCAAGATTCCTCAGCAGGTCTGAACCAAACCTAGTGCAAGTTCGGCTCCCACTTACGGAAGGCAGACATGGAAAGAATAAAAATGCTTACCGCATTAGAGAAGGGCAGTTTTTCTTATTGTCCTGTATAACAAAGACAATGTCTCCCTCTAGAGAAAAGGGCCAGTGTCCTCAAGGCCATCATCAATGTCTAGGCTGCCCTGAACTAGGGCACATGCCTTGAATCCAGCTTATTACACGGTCACCCGTAGAAACTGGGGCCACTGGAACCGGGGATAGAAGGCCGTTCCCCTGGCTGTGTTGTCCTGAGTAATGAAGTCCTTTGCCTTCGGAAAAAAAACACCAAAGACGTGTTTAGGAAGCCAGAGTTGGAGGCGAGTCATTTCACGGACAGCGTGGTAATACTCACTTAACATGCTTTGTTTCCTGTGCCTACATGCGGCTCCCCACACTTGTTTCTTTTCTATCTTTTTTGGTTTTTGTTTGTTTGTTTCCTCTAATGCACATGTGCTTGCCGGAGTGAGTGAGAGAGAGAGAGAGAGA